GAGAAAAACTACATCATATTGTTTCAAGTTACAGTACTATTATTGGTAGTCCATATATATGACAATGTAGTTATGTCTCGTAACATGATTTTACGTATAATAAATAAGTTAGAATAGTTGATTAATGATCGATCGTTCGGATTAGGGTATATTATTTTTTTACACCTACTTTTAATTATATGACTTAAATAGTAGTTAAAAAAAACATGGTACCACATATTTTATCTTATTCTAATAATTCACAAAGTTGCATTTCAGTTTCATAAACATTTTTATCGTCTTACCTTTAATATACTAATTGTGTGTAAGCTAAAAGCTAAGAGAAAGAAAAGTAGAGAGTAGAGAGATGGCCGCATAAAGCCACCGGCTGATCCCACTTCCATTGAATCATCTCATAACTTAGCATTCTTTCTTGTTATTGTTGTTATCTAATCAACCACCACTCATTAGCTCTCCCACACAACTATTTGGATTTAGCTTTTAGTTCCTTTTTATTTTAGTTATTTTTCCAAAAGATATTTTATAATGGAAAGGGAAATGAAAGCATATAAAGATCGACAATAAAAAAAAAAACTTGTGGACTTTACGATTAACCAGTTAATTAGGATAACATGATTTAGATCGTTGAAATGTTATCGTCTAGCTAATTAACTAATGGTCAAGGGTTTTATCAGTTTTTACCTTTTACACAGAAACATTAAATTTAAGTTTCTCATAATTTGGTTTGTCTAAAGTTACCATAATATTCTACATATATAATGATTGATATATTTATTCGTTGCAAACGATTAATCACTAGTTATAATAAAATTATTATATACCCAATGATAAAAAATATTATATCGATGATTTCAATAGTGTTTTCAAAGTTTTTTTTTTTGGGAGAAAAGTAGTGTTCTCGGAATTTATATACAATTCTTACAAACAAACGTAGAACCTTGTCAATAAAAAAACAAAGATGAAAATCCAAAATTAAAAGATATTTAAAACTGAAAATGTTCAATAATTCCGAACAAACAAATATGCGATGTTTCGTGTTGTCACGCGTTTCAGGAGGATCTGGAAACCATTGAAAGTACTCAATAAAGCTGGCTTTCAAATTACAAGACAAAGCATTATATATAAGACTAGTAAAAAAAATTGTGTTTTGCATTTATGCATCCGTAAGAAGAAATAACTAATACAGCTTATTGCTCATCAGAACAAAAAAAATCGTTCTAAATTCATAATTATTTATAAAATCTATCAGCCACCAAAAAAGTAATTAATGAAATTCTGGCTCATAATGAAGAAAATGTAATTAAACAAGAATATGAGCAAAAAAAAAAAAAGAGTTTAAACCAGAAGTTGGGAGAGTGATGGTCAAAAGACGACATATCAACGTGCGAAATTGGACCACGTCATCAACCATACCTGGACATGAGCACGTGTAGTCTCTTAGCTCTTGTGGGACCCACAAAACTGATCATCTTTCACGATAAGGAACAATTATATTTCTTTGTGTGCCGATTTTTAATTTTAATTGTCCTCGGAAGATGATGAAATAAGTCCTTCCATTTCAAAAAATATAAATAAGGGTCATTTGCAACAATAACAAAAAAAAATTATAATTAAAATTTAAGTAAAATATTAAAAAAAAAATAAGAAAAATTATAGGGAGAAAAATAAAAAATTTGATTATTTTATGTATTATAAGTTTTTTTTAGGTTATATATGTCAATTTTCTAATAAATAAAAAATTAATTTATGTAATAACAAAAAAAATATGATAATTGATAATTTAACCAAAAATTCTAAAATAAGTAATTATGATTTTGTCACATCGGATGTTTTTGATTAAATTGTCAATTATAAATTTTTTTTATCGCTATTGATGCCAATTTCTC